TAAGAGTGTTGTGGCTGCCTTGCTCGACGATGACTTGAGGCACAGGGGTGGGACCGGATTGCACACCTTTAGACACGCTGCTCAACCAGATACTCTGGGACGTTGACACAAAGTGACTACTCAAGAGGGATACAGGGGGAGGGGGGATTCCGGTAACTGTTCGCAGTGGCAATCAACAGACAGTCTGCCATCAAGCATACATCTCCAACAGGAGATGTTATTTTCTGTTTTGATTATCTAGTTGTTACGGACTTGCTGACAACTGACAGACAGCTACAGATAGACTAGACCTTTGCTGTATTGCAATCTGTTCCAAGGTAATCTAAAAATAGATGTAATTTATCCTGTAGGACCTGACAGTAGTTGTAATTATATCACCTAACTGTTTTGTCCCATCCGACCGAAAGTAATTGTGTTTCATAATCGGTTGTGTGTCAAGCTGAAGTGTGGATTCTAGTTTAGATCACACACACTGTAGCTCATGAGTGATGCAAGCACAAGTGAGGAGGAGTCACTAGTGGACGACCGTAGGACTACTTGCGGGACTGCCCGTAGTCGACCCTTGACATTCTTGGAGTTAGGTCCAGGAGACGAGAGAAGATTGAGGAGAGAGGCTAGAGAAAGGGCAGCGGCAAGGAGAGCGAGGGCAGCTGAGGAGAGTGCTAGAGCTAGAATTACAGCTAGCATCAGTATAGCCATGGCTACCTCATCTATGACGCAACCCTCTACACAACCCACTTCGTCAGGAGTCAGTCAGAGTGGTGCTCAGGCGGTCACTAGTGAGATTGGTCATGTGCGAGTCAGCCAATCTCCTATCACGCTGGAGGACTTGGAAATCCGGCAAGCAGAAGAACTTCAGGATGAGCTACAGTGGCAGATATACGAAGTAGTAGAAAGGAGAAGAAAAGCTACGCAACGAAAAGCTAGACTAGAGAGTAGATTGCAGGAGTTAGGCAGACTGGAAAGACTAGATGAGGCAACATTAGACCCTGCTGTTCGTGTGCTGCGAGGCGCATTACTTTCAGTGGCGGAAGCGCAAAGCGTCAACAGGAATTGTTGGCTAATTTGGTAGCAGGCCATAAACAAATTCTCGCTGAACTTAGGGGCATTCGCCCAACGGCGAGGCCCTTGCTTTAGTTCCCCCTGTAGGTGCGGGTCCATCATCGATGCCGCAACGCACAGGGCAAACTTTCTCTCCCATGTTTGGCATGCCCTCCCCGGGTGGTTTAGGTGCAACTAGTGGTCCGGTTCATTCAGTCTCAGCCGTACCGTCCACAACTGTGGTCACTACAGTCCCACTGTCCAGCCAGGCCCAGGTTAGTTTGCAACAGCCTGTTTCAGTGGCTATGCAGCCGCTGCATCAAGCACCTGGGCCCATGCAGCCGATGCAGTGGATGCCCAAGATACCTCTTATGTCTCCCAAGCCTTTCTCTGGAGACAAGAAGAGGGAGGAAGACTTGGACACCTGGGTGAGGACTGTGCCTACTTATGTGAGGCACAAGCTCACAAGGCCAGAACAGGAAGTGGTAGTGGCTGCCTCCTTTTTAGGAGGATCAGCAGCCCGCTGGTTGAATGGCTTGGTGCAGCAACAGGGCTACGGTCAGGATTTCGATGCCTGGGCTCAGTCTCAGATATTGGAACAGTTCGTACGGTCCGTCTACAACAGGTGGAATGACCCGCAAGGGGCTCAAAAGGCCACCGATGCTATCAACAACCTTTGTTCCCGTAGGTTCAAGGATGTTAGAGAGCTTACAGACACCGTAGAACACCTTCTCGTGGTACCTGGTGTGCGTTTTGACCCGCAGGTTCTCCTAACGGATTACCTAAGGTGCCTACCTACAGAGGTAAGGACCAAGCTGGTTGATGAGGCCTATATCGACCAGCAGACTTTTGCTTCTTTTAGTAAGAAAGCACTGGACATAGAGGCAAAGCTAGGATCTGCGCATAAGGCATCCAATGATGGTAGGAAGAGACTGCCCCAAGATTGGAAGAAAAAGGGTCAGTTAATGTTCGTTGACCACGATGGTCAAACGACGGAGATTGATGACTACTTAGATCTTGGGGAGTTCACAGAGCACGATGGGGGTGGTGAGACTTCAGATGGTGGAGTCGTGGCACCCATCAAAGAAAAGGCTAGGGGGACCGGGAAGAAGAAGGTAGTACGGTCCACGGGTCAGGGCGACCAAGGAACACCCGCATGGGTGAAGATTGGCTTAGAATACGAGGTGTGGCGTGACCGCGTTGCTAGGGGTACATGCATGAACTGTGGCAACTTTGGCCACACGTCCTGGACTTGCCGTGGCAAGAAAGTCACAACGAAGGTAGCCTCACCAACGGTGGTGGGCTTACCTTTGAACCCTGGGAGTGCTTCTGCGAGCAGCTCACAGGGAAACACCTCGGGCCAGTAGGAGTGTTAGCCGCTCTCACTCGCGCTGAAGTGGTAACGTTGCCCTCCCCACTTCAGGCGTTGGCCAAGGCTAGTGACCCACG